ACGCATGCATCTAGACATCCATCCAAACCTACATGCATGCAGCCTTTCAGACATACATACAAACGTACATCCATCCGTCCATCCATCGATACATGTATGCATACCCGCGTCCATACGTATACACTTCCATCCATTAATACATACATGATTCCTTACACACACATAAATGCATACATGCATGCATACATACAGGCACACATTCATACATACAGACATGCTTTCATACATGCATCCACCCATCCATCCCATTCATATCTACATTCGCATATACATCCACCCATACATACATACATACACACTCATACATACAGACAGACTTACACACATTTAAACATCCACCCGCATATACCTACATATAAACATACATTCAGCCGTACACATATCCATACCTATATATATATATACACACCTACATACAATCATACATACAGCCGTACACATAGCCATCCATATATACACATATGCATGCATACATGCATACTCTCCTATCTCCCATGACTCTGTCTAGAAGATTCCGCCTTCTCCACGCTATCACACACAGGATTGGACAACAGGTGTTTTGTCTAATGGTGAGTTTGGCAATCTGATTATTGCCGGCGTTTCAAACAAATGGCGTTCCCGCTGCAGCGTGGGCTCATTTTCGGATCGGCACTTTGATCCCGTCGTTCAGAATGGCGCTTCCGCCCAGTGCGGCCACTTTCCAGGATCCCTTTTTCCACTGTCGTCACCCCCATTATTTCCCCCTCCTCCGCCCTCTCCTGGTCCTCCTGCTCCTCATACTCTTTCCACTTCAGCTGCTGCTGCTGCTCCTGGTGCTGTTCGTCCGCGTCCTCGTCCTCCTCCTTCCTCATTGTCCTCCTCTTCCTCCTGCTCATCCTTCTACTCATCCGTCACCTCCTCCTCCAATAGATGCAGCTAGGTATTTATTCTTGCGCATGACGCGATGGGGTCCCCTGTGGAACTTCCAGGTCCGCTATGATACACATCGGCGGATGGACACACAACAGCGCAGAGGGAAGGGAAGTGTGGGAGGAGGAGGAGGAGGAGCAGGAGGAGGAGGATGGATGAGGAGTGCAAGTGCCCAAAGAGGAAGAGACGAGGGCAACCGGGCACGACGCGAGAAGAGGAAAGATGTCCCGCCCGAGTCCGCCGCCCTCTACTTCCATACGTGAGCTGTGGTGGTGCTCAGGCGCACAAGCAACTCACCCGCTGCGGGGAGCGCGGGGCCAAACACGCGGAGAGCGGATGTGTATTCGTGCGTGCGCTGAAATGCAGGAAACGCGGGGATGGGAGGCAGAGATAAAGGCGACAAGCGGGAAGAGGCGAGCGGGGCAGGGGGCACATTGCTACAAAAGCGGGCGGGGGCCTCAGACGCCACTCTGGGCGGCGAGAATCCACGATCATCATGCTGGCGCCCAGCAGCACGTTGCAACATATCATCGACACAGCACGCAAGATTCGTACTGCAGCCACGTAGCTGCAGAAGGTCCGAGCGGCGAAGGAACGGAATGCCAGGAGCTGGCCAGTCATGCAGGGCGTCGTCGGGATGGTCACGACGATCCGCGTCGGCCACTCCAAGCGGCGGGACGGCACGCGCATCAGCATGCAGAGCTTCTTCGGGAATGGCTTGACGAGCAGCAAAAGCCACACGAGGCGGCAAAGCGGCACGAGCATCATCATGCGCCACTCCGTGGGGATGGTCGGGGCGAGCCGCAGCAGCCACTCCAGGCGGCGGGACGGCACGTGCAGCAACATGCAGAGCTTCTTCGTGGTTGTCGTGGTGTGCAGCGCTAGCCACTCCAGGCGGCGGAACGGCACGAGCAGGAAGCAGAGCTGCTTCGGGATGGTCGAGACGAGCCACGTCAGCCACTCCAGGCGGCAGGACGGCACGAGCCACATCATGCAGCTCTTCTGGGGGACGGACGGGACGAGCAGCGACAACCACTCCTGGCTGTGGGGCGGCACGAGCAATATCATGCAGAGTCTCCTGTGGATAGTCAGGCTCTCCAGTCCCAGCAACCTTGGATGTCCTGGAGTGGGTGGAACTCGGAGGGCCCGTCATAGGGCATTCCGTGTTGCACTCTGGGCCTGTGGACGGCGCCCCGACGGACTGGTCGCTCTCCGTGGACAGGGTAGTCTCGAACACGAGGTCGTACCACGCGTCGAAGCAGCGGACGAAGGGCCTGTTCTGGAGGAGCGTCTTACGCCGTGCTACGCGCTGCCATTCGCGTACAAGGGGGCGTAGGGCAGCAAGAGCCACACCAACAGCACGGGGACGGGATTCAGCAGCGGCAGCTTCATGCAGAGCACTATCAGGGGCGCCGTCTCCAGCGACGTCAGCAGGAGCGTCTCCAGCACCAGCAGGGAGAGCGTCGAGAAGTAGGTCATGCAGGCCACCAGCAAGTCGGCGGACTTCGGATCGTTGAACGGGTCGGGAATGCAGAACACCATCAGCGCCGGCGGTAGTGTCAGCGCGAGCGTCAGGAGCGGGAACAGCTTGCAGGAGGTCAGGAAGGCCACCCTCCGGGCGGCGGACTTCGGATTCATGAACGGGTTGCACATGCAGAAGAACGGAATGGTGTCGCGGAGGATGGCGGCCCTCGGCGGCAGCAGCACGAGCAGGATCATCATGGGCTGGTGCGTCATCTGCCTCTTCGCGTCGGTGAGGCCGAACTTCAGGACCATGGGCAACGTCAGGAGGACGCCCGCGAATCAGCTGCAAGAAGTTCGCGACCAGCGGCAGCTCGTTGCCCCTGCAAGTGCCCAGCGGAGTAATCACCCGCGAGGCGGCTGGAGGCGCAGCAACGTGTGGAAGGAGAACGTGTAGTTGAAGAGTCTGGCGCTTGCCAACGCGTGCTGGGCCGCGACCGCCTTGCAGAGCTTGGCATGCGCGGCGATGCAGAGCGTCAGGACTCCTGCGGTGCGGCATGACGAACAGCGTCAGCAGCAAAGGCAGCAGGCACCATCGCGTGGACATACGGATCCGACGGCCTCAAACGCTGGCGGCGCGGCGCTCGGCCAGGGGGCCTTGGGCGAAAAAGCTGTGGAACTCATTTCGGCCCAAGCCCGAGATCCCACGGAGGGGACGGACTTGAGCCAAAATGGCTACGGAAAGGAGGATGGATGAGGAGGAGGAGGAGAAGGCGGAGGAGGAGGAGGAGGAGGGGGAGGGAGGAGGAGGAGGAGGGGGAGGGAGGAGGAGGAGGAGGAGGAGGAGGAGGGCTAGCATGTCGGATGTGGCGCGAGCGCACCTGGCTTGTCCCAGCCCCCTCTCCGGCTCCCTCCTCCTTTGCAGTCGGACCTGGGCCATAATGACATCCTCCATGAAGGTGGGAACCTCCGTCGGCCAAAACAGACAGAACATCCAAGGGTACCCTCCCCATGATGCACAAGAGCATCCAACAAGCACGAAGAGCATTAGAGCACCCTCCCCGAACCGACCTCGATCTTATACCTCGGTCCGACTGCTTCTCCCCTGCTCATCCTCCTCGTCCCTGCTCCTCTTCCCCTCTTCCCTCCGCGCGCGAGCGCCGGAGCTGCAAGGGGCCGCTCCGGAGAGCATCGCTCCTCCTCCTGCCGCCCCCGCGGCTGCTCGTGCCTGGCCTTCTGAGGGACGTGCTGCGACGCAAACCAACGTGCAACGATGATTCGACGCGGGCGTACGAGCGTGTGCGAAACTGGTTGTGACTTGCACTGCGGCTGGGTGGCGCAATACGCATGACTCCGATAGGGCCTGTCTAGGGGTATGCGCAAAGACTACGTCAGCAGGAGCGGGCCTGGAGGTGGGCCGTGTCGAGTATAAGCGGGCCTGAATACAAGTGAGTCTGGGAAGACGTGGGTCGGGGTATGAGTTGGTCTGAGTGCGAGTGAACATGAGTAAGGGTGGGTCTGAGTAGGAATGGATCTGAGTGTTGACGTGCCAATATGCAACGACAAAGCAACAACCCATGGAATAGTAATACGGGTGGTCACCAGTATGAGTTAGCCCGAGTGTGCGTACGCGTGAATGTGAATGGTTTCGGGCATCGTCTGAGCGTAGGAGGGACTGAATCTGCCTGAATCTGAGTGTTCGCGAGTCTGACTATAGTCGAGGCAGTACGAGCGAGGATTGGTGTATATAAATACCAGCAGGTCTGACAACGAGTCAGTGCGGCGACTACGAACGAGATTGCGCAAGAGTGGCCGAGTCCGAACAAGTCTGGGCAAGGGTGACTCTGAGTTTGACCGAACTGGTCTGAATCAGCCCGAGCCTGAGTCCACCACGGCTCCGGGAGTGAGTGGGCCTGAGCACGAGTGGGTCTGGTCCAAGTCTGAGCGAGACTTGGCGTGCGAGGCTCCGTGTGAACATCGACTCAGGGACCCCTCAGGAGCAACGTTCTGAAGAAGCTGTCTCCGGTGAAGCGGCCCTTCTGGAGGAGGGCCAGAAGAGCGCCCCCTTAGAGCATGAGACCCTTCGTCGGCCAAGACAGACAGAGCGTTCAAGGGACCCTCCCTAGGATGACCAAAAGCATCTTCTTTCTTCAAATGGAAAAAGATTCCAGTACCCTCCCCGAGCCGACCTCGATCTTATACCTCGGTCCGACCTCACCTGCCGCGTCGCCTCGGGGCGGTCTCTTGCCTTCCGCGGGCCCCCCTCGCCTGCGGCGGCAGGCCCGTGGTGCCCTCGCCTCTCCGGAGGGCGTGCCCCCCGCAGCGAGAAAGAGGATGCCCGCAGGGGCCTGCGAGGGGGCGCGTCCTCCTCCTCCTTCTCCTCCTCCTCCTCCTCCTCCTCTTCGTCCTCTTCCTCCTCCTCCTTCCCCCTCCTCCTCCTCCTCCTCCTCCTCCTCCTCCTCCTCCTCGTCCTCCTCGTCCTCCTCCTCCTCCGCCCTGGTCACCACCCTCCTCCTCACCCTCCTCGTCCTCCTCCTCGTCTGCCCCATGCTGTATCTCTCTCTCTCCCTCGACTCGCCTGCCTCCTCGCCCCTCTCCCCTCGAGACGGCCCGCTCTTCCAGAGGCCGACCGGTCGTGGGAGACGATGACAACAGTCCTCTCCCAGTCCTTCAAGAACTCCTGTCGGCGGCGGCGGCGGTGGGGCGGGGGTCCTCCTCCTCCTCCTCCTCCTCATCATCATCATCCTGATCATGGTCATGGTCATGGTCATCATCATCATCATCATCATCATCATCATCATCACCATCATCATCATCATCATCGTCATCATCATCATCATCATCATCATCATCATCATCATCATCATCATCATCATCATCATCATCATCATCATCATCATCATCGTCATCATCATCATCATCATCATCATCATGATCCCCCTCACTGTCCGCCTCAGCCTCGTCTCTCCACCTTTCTCTTCCACACCCGGCTCCTCCACAGGTTCCTCTTCTTCCTGCCCCATTCTGCAGCTCCTCGGTGGGGGGGGGGGCCCGAGGCTCGTGCACCAAGCATAGCAATCGAACCCAGACCCCCCCGAGGGGGTGGGCAGAGAGGGGGGGGCGGGATCGAGGTCCACCTGGCGAAGGGACAAGGAGAAGCGCCGACTCAGAGCCGATGGGCAGTCTAACCTCGCCGTGGACCGAGTGGGCGGCGCTTGGCGACGCCCCAGGAGGACTGAGTGGGAAGAGGGGCTGAAGCGGAGGGAGGGGATGGGGCACAGATGGGGGGCACGACGAGGACAAGGTGAGGGGAATGGGTAGGATGTGGAGGACACCTACCCGACATCAACAGGGAACACTTCGGCTTACTACGACAAAGGCTACAAGAAACTCTCGACGGATGGAAATTCTACTGCTCACACACAAACGTTGAGACGCACTGGGCACAACGACCAACCCACATACCCTTTCTACAGAAAAGCCGGCTACCGACCCGATCAGACGCCGTTCAACGACGAGGACGACCCACCACGTCATCTGAGACGAGTACCACTCATACACCTGATGTGGGCAGAACTCCACGACGACATCGACAACATCATGGTGCGACTCAGGTACACCTGCTACAACGAGAACGGCACTGAGAAGAGCCTCAATGAGACCCTCTACAAGATCTTCTACCACCAAAGTTGAACAAAACTACGACTTCCAGATCGACCTGTGCGGCATACCAAGTTCAACCACGACGGGCGAGACTACGAACGATCGACACTCCTCAGCTCCATGGCCGACTGAAGCCACAACGTCTCTTTTGGCTCAGAGCGACTTTCGTTCACAAACTACTTACCCGACTCACTCCACACCCCAGGTGCATCAACACTGCACCCACCATGGGCTACCTGCATAGCAAGAAAGCTCAGGAGGCAAATTACACCACCAGTTGCCTACGAACAGCCACGCTACATTGAGTTAGACGAGCCCACGCAGTACGAATGGGACCTACTCAACCAATAGACTGGCACAGCACGTGTCAAGCCAGACCCCCACCAAGGACCCACACCACCAACCCACTACGAGCTAACGGCGCCCACGATGGACAACCCACGGTTGCCAGGCATGTTATGTCACTTGCCACCTGCGCCCCTACAGACCCTGCACCCTAGGGACCGCTCCACGCGCCGCACGCGCAACCCCACATGCATTAAACCTCAACCATCCATTGTGCTGCCCCATCCTCAAGGACCACAATTCATATTCAAACAGCCCAACTACATCACCACAAAATGCGGCTTCAGGTTCCCAACCGACACCCCTGCAGACCACGCACACTACGACTGCGTCCACCAGCAGCTAGCGAAACAATGCGACCTAGGGAAAGCACACTACGAGCACCTGGAAACAGAGCGGCACACACGAACAGTACACACGCAGACGCGACCACCACAACAAACCATCCCCAACCTTCACTTCCATCGCAAAAAGGACAAACGCAACAACGCAAGGGCCGACGTCAACTGCGACTACATACCGCCCCCACCCGCTCAAATACCAACGCCGCCCACGCAAGCTACCGCAACCATGTCGACAAGCAACCAAGAACAAACCAACCCATGGACAGGCGTACCCGGCCTGATCTACGACATACCAGACCCCGACGAAAACATAGACTACAACGACACGCTGTCAAATACGAACGGAGCTTCCGACACCCACGAGTTCCACCTCACGTCATCCAAGCCAAACCAATATCACGACATGCACTGCCCAAGCGGATGGGCAGCAGACTGCGACCACGCCAGCGACGAAGACACCGACGGCTACGACGACGACAGGTGGCACTGCGCGGTTAACTACAACGAGCAGTACACGCACAGGTTTCCCAGTGACGACCTACTGCTACCTGGACGGCACGGATACCTCCGCAAATGCAACAGTGAAATGCTCGCGCATCAAAACGGCGAACAATATCTATTACACCCACAGCCCCGACCTGACCCTCAAACAACACCACTATATACATTCACTCTTCCACCCGCAACAATTACCAAGAGGCTCAAACTCAAAGACGCAACACACGCAGACACACCTTTTCATGGCGACACCATCCAAGCAACCATCGTTCACTCGTTAGGGCAACGATCTACAAGCATGTGCACCCAACCACAGTGACAACGCAGCACCCCGACTTCAAGTTGCAACGACAAGCCAACACTTCCAAGCGCTTCTTACAGGAGGGCACGCTCCACTCATCCCCAGCAAGACCGGTGCTATCCAAGAAGCCGCGCAATGTATTAACGCTTGCTACAACGACGGCAACCACATAAAACTCGGCTGGGCGGTTAATACACGAGATACGGCATCATTACCCCAACATATTTGCAACCCGACCATCACGGCTAACAGGATCCTAACCACGGCACAGGCCGACAGCGACAGCACCAGCGAGGAGCACGCACAAGCTGAAGGCAACCAACACGACAAACCACCGCCACCCACAATGCCGCCACTGTAAAAGCAGTACCCTTTACCCAAGAAGCGAGCAGCCACGCTACCACCACAACGGGACTTGCCCGATACGCAGACACAAGAGACACCTACCGATATACCTGAAGCACCGACGCGCTACCTGTAAAGAAAACACTACCACTTCCCAGTGCACCGTTCAGACCGAACGCATCCATACCAGTGCAGTAACAAAACGCACTGCCATTCCACACGCCCACACTCCAACCTAACAAAGCCACTACGCCGACCACGTCGACCCTGACCACCTACACGTCACCAGCCAAGATATCACCACCTCTACCCACCTACGCGACCAGCAACCAACCCCAACAATCGAAGGCCAACCACAGCGCCAACGGCATGCCGACGCCAGCTACACTACAACCAATACAAACAACAGCATCGTCCAAGTGAACGCTCTTGAGATCAACGATACCTGCACACCCACCACCACCAGCTCTACATATACCAATCATGTACACCCCCCCCCTGGGGACCATGACACGGCGATGGATACAGGAGGTACCTAGCAACACCATGGCGCCACAGACCTACGCCACGCTACACGCCTACTTTCCAAGAATCGCAGCGCAAGCCATACCAACACACAACGCAGCTGTGAACCGAGGCGACCAGCACATATTCATTTGCAACCGCCGCATCATCTTCGTGAACAATGCAGGCTGCCCAACGTTCCACAGCTACATTGACAGGCTCCGCTCACACCAGACGCGTGGCGAGACCTTCCTCAACAGCCTCCACGACACCCCTCCAATGGGAGTACCATTCAAGGAGCCACCGCCCAAACAGGTAGTACGATTGTACAAGGCGCCACCAACGCTCAAGCCGACGGGCTTCGAAGGTACTGGCCATGGGGCTGGATAAGCACGCATTGGCAACAACATACCACGACTTGCACCGCAAGTACCCACTGCTCTTCAACTACCGCAGCAGAGTTTCCACTGAGGCTCTTCTTTCATCATACTAGTCTGGTACGTTACTCCGACCAGGCAATGCGCACCGTGGCCGCTTCCCCTCCTTCCGATCCTACATCGCACTGACGCTGCCTACACCCTCCCGTTCTCTTGACATGTTGGTGGTCCCTCCCTCCCTTCCTCCCAGCTTTCGACAGGGTGGGGTCAACCAGAAAACCCTGGTCCACAGCACGGGCACGATCTTAACATGCATCTCGCCACGCATTGCACACGCTGTGTCTTCTTTATTGTGCCACACCCAGCCTGTACCGCAAGCTGCTACAACCAACTCTTTTTCTCATCTGCAGCCTGGTACTGCGCCACGAGACAGCACTTCTACTGAACTAGACGGGGGCTTGGTGGTGGAGATTCTTGTAGAAGTGTCAAAGGGGGCTTGGTTATGTTCTACAGGACACGTGCTTTGCAGGCAGCCGGTCATCCAGTGCACACGCCAAGCCAGTATTTGCAGGCCGTGCCTCGTACGCCATTAAGCTATCCCATTCACTGCCTTACCATATTCCTCATAGTTCGCGAGGCCAGCCTACTCAGGCCAGCCTACAGAACCCACACTCGCAGAAACCTATGCCTGGCTCGCTATGCTCCATGTGCCTAGACCGACAGGCCAGCCTGTACAGGCCAGCCCATGCAGCATTCTCAGCCGATCTTTTCTCACCTCGCTCATCTCCCTACCCCTCATACTCCTGACATGAATACGGTGACGGTGGCCCCTCCACCTAGGAACCGAAGAGCGGGCCTACTGCTGGCCAGAAGAGGGGGCCAACTGCTGGCAAAAAAGGGAATGTGTGCACATTGCCTGGTACCAGGGGCAGCAGCCCTAGTATGATTAGAGGGCACTCGCAAGATAGTACGGGCACGCTCAATCCGTGCATTTCTCCTCGGCAGGCTGCTTACTGTGCCACCAGGCCGCACTTCTATGGACGGGGAGGGGGCTGGATGGTGCGGGCGTGCTAGGGGAAGGATGCGGAGTATACAAGCCTGTACCTACTGAGGAAACGACTCTGTGCAGGCCGAGCTACACTCAGTGCGAAGGTTTTTCTTTACAGAGGCAGCTGTACCCAGTGCACTCACCATGCCTGCACCTGCACAAGCTATGTCTAGTTTGCAAGTGTGCTACATGTGGCCTATACCGCAGTTGCTGCGAGCATCTCCACTGGGCTGCTGGTGGAGGAGAAGTGCATACATGTTGCTCCACAGCCATGGACACGTGAGCTATCTGCCCAAGCGCACGCTGTAGAGCACGTGCTGCATACCGTCTCTTGCAGCAACACTACTTGTTAGCGGCACTTTGCATTAGCTGCCTGTACCTTGTGTTACTCCTCAGCTTGGCCATATAACCTAAGCAACAAAATGAACTGGGGGGCTGGGTTGCACTAGATCGCGGGATCAATGGTGGGGAGGGGGACACTACTGATCACTTAGGTTTTGACCCTCAGCGGAGGGATGCCAGCCCTACGTTGGGCTGCTGATCGTCATGCGCTCTCTTAGCTCAATACTACCGTACTCAGCCGCACACCTGTTGCAGTCACCAGGCGCCACTTTTTATACACTCAGCTCATGCCATATTGCATAGCACTTGAACCTGTACCTGAGCCAGCTAGCACAAGAGTAACCCGGGTGTGGGGTTCATGTGAAGGGGAAGGAGGCGACCACTTCCGAAGGTACTACAGCTGCCCCTTTTCCAACGAAGACAGGCATACCAATTTAATCTACAGGGCATATTATCTACCTCGGTTTATCGGGTGTTTGCCCTACCAAGGTTAGTGCCGCCTTCTAGCACCTGGCGGGCGCCTACCCGCATGACTGTTCCTTTCCTGGCCTCGTGCTCCCACGTTGCCCGCGGCGCCCGCCAGGTCCCTCTGTTCTGAGTCGATGCGCGTACGTCGGTAGAGTGCTACCTTCAAGAACGCCACGGGCACTGCCCTAAGGTTGGCTTCACGTAAAAAAGAAGAGGAGCAGGAGGAGGAGAAGGAGGAGGAGGAACAGTGGACCAGACCAGAGCGTTCGAGCGCGCCGCGAGCAGAAGCAGTGACAGGGAGGCGGGCAGGGCTGGCGGGCGGGCGCAGCGGGCGCACGACGCGGAGAGGGCGGAGGGACAAGGCCGAGCCTCGCCATCGCTCGGACGCCCACTTCCCCTGCGTGCTTCGGCCTCGTGCGCGCGCTGCTTCGCGAGGTGCTCCAAGATGCTCCGCGACGCTCCTCGATGGCGCCTCGCCGCGACGGAGGAAGCGCACACGTCCCAGCGGTGACGACCGCCGTCGTGCCGCCCAGGGAGCAGCGGCGAGGGAGGCACGAAAAGGGGCTCTGCTTTTCCGGCCATGGCGGGCCTCGGCCACGAGCGGGGTCCTCGAGCTGGCCCCCGTGGAGCGGCCCAGGCACCGGGGCCCCGCCCGAGCTCCGAGAAGGCCCCTCCTCCTCCTCCTCCTCCTCCTCCTCCTCCTCCTCCTCCTCCTCCCCCTCCTCCCCCTCCTCCTCCTCCTCCCCCTCCTCCTCCTCCTCCTTTCCTCCTCCTCCTCCTCCTCCTCCTCCTCCTCCTCCTCCTCCTCCTCCTCCTCCTCCTCCTCCCTGCCTTGGAAGAAGGAAACGACGGCATGCACATAAACTGTTGGCGCTCTCCGCGCGGAGCGCCAGCAGTTTATGTCAATGGCGTGTTGTCCCTCTTCGATGACTGCAGGGAGCATGGAGGAGGAGGGAGAGCTTGGCGCATGGACTGCCCCCCCACCCCCGCTGCACCCGCATCCACATCCCCTGCTGTTGCTGCTATTGCTGCTGCTGATTCTCCTCTTCCCACCTGCGGACACGCACCGCATGCTCCGCCTCCTCCAACATGCAGTTCCACCACCACCCCTGCCTTCCTCCTCCGTCTCCCCGAGGCCCGAGGGAGCAAAAGAGAGGGCAGTGGGCTCCGGGCAAATAGAGGAGCCCCCACCTTTAACAAAAACAGTCCACGTAATCAGGCACTGTCGCAGGTCCGCGCTGTAGCGATGGGGGAGCAGGCGCCCACCTAGACCCCGTCATGATTTTTCATGACGCGGCCCTCAGAGGTCCGGACCCATTCCCCGGGACTGGTTTTTCATCCTGCGTCGCTTTTTGCTGGTCCCGGGGCCTGGTGAGGGTCACCGAAGGCCGAAAACAGCGAAAAACCTCCCGTCGTGATTTCTTCATGGCTCGAGAGGGCCTGGGCGTCCAAGAGATCCGCCAGGGCCTCCGAAAATTTACAGTCGGGAGCTTCTGCTCAGCGTGCCGCGGCGGCGACCGGCGCGGCGCGCCCCGCTGGCTCTTGAGCGCGCTAAAGCGACCGCCAGCGCCTGCGGACCAAAAGGTCGCGGCGCCAGCGTCGGCGACGCGCCGTGCCCTGCGACCGGGCAGCCTGCCCCTCCGCTCCGCGGGGCGGGAGGCTGGAGTATATGGGGCCTCCTACATGGGGTCCGAGTAGGTGGGGTCGGAGGATTGCACCGCATCGCCGATGTATCGGCAATGCATCGGCGATGCGTCGGTGATGCACCAGCGAAGTCGGCGATGCATCGGCGACGTCGGCATGGAGAACATAGGGCTCCAGATCGAACCGCATCGCCGATGCAGCGGCGATGCGGCACGATCCTTCGACCCAATCTGCTCCGCCTCCATCTGGGAGGCCTAGATGGAGGCAAGCTTGGGACGTGGACGCTCGGGGACTGGGACGCGAGTAGCGTGTCGCGCCCCAAGCGTGGTGGGCCAGCACCCGCTGCGCGACATGCGAAGCCAAACTTCCTGGCCGTACGCTTTCGCAGATATCATCTTTCCTCGTCCCCTGGCCAGGGATCGAGGCTGCTGGGCAGAGCGACGTCGGACCCCGCCCTCGGGGGTGAGACGGGAGCCGCGGCACGGGCAGTGAGCGGGGTGCCGCCATCCAGAATCCCTAGTGACCTCGCGTCGGGGCTAGTCGCTGTGCGACGTCGCAGCGCAACCGCTGGTCCTCATCGCCCGGACGCGGGGTGGGAAGCGCGTGTCGCGCCCCAAGCGTGCTGGGCCAGAACCGGCGGCGCGACACGCCAAGCAAAACTTCCTCACCGCAGCTGATGAGGTAGAAACGCTTGAAAACAAGTGCAATTCGACACACGCTGAAACCCCGTGGTTCGGTCGAGCGAACTTGATGGTATAGAACAGAAGAGAACGGCATATGCGGCATAAGTATCAACTTTTGGCGCTCCGCGCGGATTTCTTGGATCCGCGCTGGGGACCCCCTGGCGGCGCCTCCTGCGGATCCAAAGAACCCGCGCGGTGAAGAAGCCGACGTGCTCCTGTCGTCCTGTCCCCGTCGCTCGGACGTCCACTCCCTGTGCTTTTCTCGGTTTCGTACGTGGTTCTTTCGCAGGATGATCCAGGATGCTCCTTAATAATGCCCGCCGAGAAAAAAAAAAAAACACGTCCGAGCGATACCAAGTCCTGTCGTGGGCATACTGGCACGTATTCGGAGTCCCGAGACGGTGCGGTGACAGACCGTGCGGTGACCTCGAAATCCCCCAAGACCTCACCGCACGGTCCGTCAACGCACGGTTTTGGGACCTCGGAGGCCCCAGTCGCCCGATACATCCCTGGAGAACGACCCGAGTCCCAAAACCGTGCGGTGACCCCGAATCCCCACCGACTCACCGCACGGTGTGGTCACCACCCCGTTTGGGGGCCCCCGAGCGTACATTATCTGACGTGCAGGCCAGGCCTGCGCGCGGAGGTGGCAAGGCGAGCACAGGCGGGCACTGAGGCAGCAGGAGGGCGACGAAGGCGGGGGGAAGCGCCCAGCAAGAGGCGTGGCAACACAGCGCGCTGCGCATCAGCGCGAGTCTACTCGAAGATCCTCCTCCTCCTCCTCCTCCTCCTCTTCCTCCTCGTCCTCCTCCTCCTCTTCCTCCTCCTACTCCTCCTCCTCCTCCTCTTCCTCCTCCTACTGTGTTCCGCTGACCTCCTTTCCTCCTCCTCCTCCTCCTCCTCCTCCTCCTCCTGCTCCTCCTTGTGAACGTTTTCTTGTCCTCCTCCTCCTCCTCCTCCTCCTCCTCCCTCCTCCTCCTCCTCCTCCTCCTCCTCCTCCTCCTCCTCCTCCTCCTCCTCCTCCTCCTCCCTCCTCCTCGTGAACGTTTGCATATTTGGCGTTTCGACATTGGGCGGAAGGGGGGGGGGCGGAGAGGGGGGGCCTGGCTTCGGACCTCTGCTTAGTGCGACTGTATGCAACAGTGCGTCCCATGGGGGAGGCTCCACCCGCTCGAAAAAGGCGCCGAACGCAGCCAAGATCTACTCCATGGGGGGGGAGAGGGGGTGCAAGGGCCCGCGCCGATCGGCAAAAGAATGAATGAGAAAACGATCACCTCCTCCTCCTCCTCCTCCTCCTCCTCCTCCTCCTCCTCCTCCTACTGTTTTTTGGCTCACCTCCTTTCCTCCGAACACCATCCCGCAACTCCCGTATCTCTGGAACGCCACCCCCCATTCAGCGCAGGAGCTTTTGTCGAACCTGCCTCGCACCCCGAGGCCCCGAGCGCCGCGGCGACGCCGAAGCGCACGCGAGCGCCCTCAGGCGCTGCGAAGTGGAAGACTCGACTGGGGAAGCAAAAAGGATGTCCATACAGCGACTCCACGGGCCTTTCCTGGGGTGCGTTCTGACCCAGATTTCGAACCAAGATTTCGTGGCGGATCCAGCCATAGTGCCGAGGGACGGGTAGTGGCATCGCTATCTTCTCCTCCTCTGATTAATACAGTCGGCACATACGACAAGACATATAGATATAGGGGAAATCTTTGGGCACATGCTTCCACGACCTCCGAACTTCATAAGGTGCCCGGGTGTCTGAGCGGGGCCCCAGGGCCATCGGGAGATTATGCATGTTCCGTGGGGCAGATGCCGGCAAGCAGATTTCCTATTTGATGCACCTGCTGAATGCACAGGACCTTCGACCTCTCCTGCTCCCTCGGGTGCAAGAGTCCACGCCTCCAGCCACGTCACAGCGTGCACGTCCAGGTGATTCGTCGGCTCGTCCAGCAGGAGCAGGTCTGGCCGTACCTCAGATGGCGGCAGAGTCCTGACGCAGACGAGGGCGAGAACGACGTCCCCGATGAAGATGATGAGAGGAGCGAGATATAATCCAAACATGAGCTTTCGGATCACCTCGCGGATTTCTCTTGGATTGGCATTTGACACCCCTGCCTGGAGCGCGGCGCGCGCCAGGGGTGGCGCCAGAGGAGCCATCGAGGGGCGAACTCCGGCTTCAATATAAATTTTCAGAGCCCCGCGCGGATTTCTTGGATTGGCGTTGGGCCCCACTGGCGGCGCCTCGGACACCTCCTCCGGCGCCCTCTGCGTGTCAGGGAGGGGGGCCCGGCGCCGATCCAAGAAATCCGCACTGACATCTGACAATTTATGTTTATGCTGCTTTGTTCTTCGAAAGGAGACGAACGAGGATGCTGGTGATGATGGGGAACAGGGGAAGAGGACTACGACGAGGAGGGCGCCGACTGGAAAGCGTCCACGGAAATGAACGCCCTCAGGCTAGAGGGAAAGACGGCGGGTGGCGCACTCCTCTTTGCGTGGGGCCGCTTACGCCACCGCCTCGGGCACTCGCACCCGGCCAGGAACAGGAGAGACGAGCTGAAAACAGACGAGTTAGCCCCCAAGAGCCTTTGGCGGCGCGCACAAGGGGGTGGGGGGAGGGGGGAGGGCTTCTCAGAAGCAGGCTGCTTCTCAGAAGGCGCCGGCCTTACATCTATAGATAAGGCCCGCGCCTTCTAAGAAGAAGGGGTGCTTCTAAGAAGCCCTCCCCCCTCCCCCCACCCCCCTCTGCGCGTGGCCGAAGCCTCCCCCGTCGCGGGATGGAGGCCGCGAGCGGCCTCCTCGAGCCTCCTGCGCTGCTTCCCTCGAGTGGAAGCCAGGGCCGAGGGCCCCCGACGGCTTCCCTGGAGACGCCCGGGGGCCTCGTAATGCGGGATGACGATCAATAAAAAACGGGAGCGAGCGATCAAAAAAATAGTTCTCTTCTATTTCTGCATCATTTGCTGACTGGAGGAGAACGATTAGGAAAATAGTTTTCCAGCCCGCGGCCGTTTTTTTTCTAATGGTCATCCCGGGCGCCGCCGCGCGAACACGACCCCCGGTCATTTATTAATCGTCATCCTCCATTAGGGCAAGATCAGGAAGCCCGCAGAGGCGCCCGTCTGAGCTCCACAGCGCTGAACAGCCAGTGGTGCGCCGGCCAGCGGCACGTGCCTCAGCCTGAACTCCTCTAGCGCTGAGCGGTGTTGATTAAATGTGTGTATGTGTGTTCTGATGCAGGGACGCCTTTCTGCTGTCATCGCCGTCCCCCGCTGCAAGGGAAATTGCACAGCATGAGGGCTTTCGTAAGTGGAGCTTCCTTCTCAATGATACTCTCTGCAATTTCATTCGAAACTCCACGTATGTAGTCCAAAGAGGGCTCGGCATTCCCAATCAACAGAGCCAGAAAACCGTGCGATGAAAATATGGTGCGATGAACAAAGCTTTCCACTGCTAAGCGCCCGACCCACGACGACCCCAAAAGATCACCCAGACGGCCAAGAGAGCCCTAAGCCGGCCCAGTTGCGCCGCAAAGCGGCTCAAAAGAGCCCCGAGACCGCCCAACACGGCCCCCAGGGACCCACAAGACTGCCCCACACTCGGGAGCCCAGGACAGCCCCAAGACGGCCCAAACAGGCCCCATGATATGGCTCCTTGAGACATGGAAACGCGAGGTGCCGCGTGTGATGGCTTTAATAAAACAGGGCTAGGATCGGGATAAATCGATCCAGAGCGTTCCAGAGCGCTCTCAGAGCGTTCCGGAACGCTCTGGAGCGGCCGCGGCGCCCAATACATCCTCCAAACCCGCCGATTCTCAGAAATCTCGAGTTATCTCGATCCGATTTTGTCCCGATCTTCGCGTCGTTTTATTTAAGGGCTGTGCTCCAACGGACGCCACACAGGGCACTTCGCTGGCACGGTGGCGGACTTGCCGCGGGACGCTGGACGACAACAGCAGGAGCGGCGCCATCCCAAGGGCCTGCGCCTGGCTCCTGCGAGGCTCGCCGACCTCTGGCGTGCCGCAGCGGCTGCGACGGCTGCCCGCTAGTGGGACCTCTGGGGGCCGGCCGCCCCCCTGGGCACGGCCAGGCACACTTCCTGGGCGTGTCGCGGCGGCGGCCTCAGCGGCACGCTGCATCGGGCAACTGGCGAGCAGCGCCTCGCTCCGCTCCGCTGCGCGGGGCAGGGCGGCAGGCGACAGGCTCGGGACGCCGACGCTCGGGGACTGGGGCGCGGCCAACATGCCGCGCCAAAGCGTTGGTGGATCAGGGCCGGCGGCGCGACACGGTAGGCAACGGCTCCCGACCGGAGATGGGCACGACGAGGGCGAGGACGACGACCCAGACATGCGATGTCCCGTGTTTGTTGTTGTTGTTGCTGCTGCTGCTGTTGTTGTTGTTGTTGTTGTTGTTGTTGTTGGTGTTGGTGTTGTTGTTGTTGTTGTTGTTGTTGTTGCTGTTGTTGTTGTTGGTGTTGCTGTTTTGTTTCGAAACTACTTTTTGTGCACTCGCAGTGCCCAAAGTCCTAGCCCTCTCCGCAAGACCGGCTCTTCATCCCGAGCCGTTGTCTTGACGACCCCGGGCCCGGTGAGGGTCCCTAGGGGCCCAGAACGGCCAAAACCATCCCGTCCTGATTCCCCAAGTAGGGCTGGCCTAGGGGGTTCTTACATGGTTAGGAAGAATGGCGTCTCGGGGCCCAACTTAGCCCGTTCCCCGGACCTTCCTCGGGCTCCTCGCGTGCCAAGCAACGCCAAGCCATGCCAAGGAATGCCAAGCAATGCCAAGCACTGCGCCCATGCAGTGGGAAGTTGTCCCTAATGGAGGGCAAAGTGGGGCCTTCGCGTTGGGTTGGGGTGGTTTGGATTGGCGGCGACCGAGGGGGGAAATGATAAGGAAAAGGCCATCTCAGAAGGCTCGGCAGTCCCCCCAGCCATCTGAACTGTTTTCTAAGACTTCTCCGAAGACACACCGAATAAACCTTTCAGGAGGCGCGAAGGCTTCTGAGAAGACCCGCCGCCTTCTGAGAAGGCCTTCTCCTTCTCAGTTCCCCACCCCTCTCTCGCAGCCGATTGGTGGGTGGTGAGTCTGGGGAATACTTAAAAGTACCGATACCGCTACTCCCCGGACCTATCCCAGGGTGCGTTCTGACGAGAATTTCGAAGCGAATCCCGCGGTGGCGACGAGGGCCTCCCATGAGGCCCAAACCGGGGAAAACAAGGAAAGGCTATCAGTATAGGTAAGTACCTTTTCCTCCTCCGAGGGTTGGGGTGGTTGAGAGGGTGGTGACTCTGGGGAGGAAGGCGGCAGCGGGGGCGCGGAGCACGAAGAGCGCCTGGGCCAGCGCCACCCGCATGCGCCAGCCTCGCCCCCCCGCGCACGCGGGGCACCCTCCTCCCTCCTCCTCCTCCTCCTCCTCCTCCTCCTCCTCCTCCTCCTCCTCCTCCTCCTCCTCTCCTCCTCCTCCTCACTCCTCACTCCTCACTCCTCCTCACTCCTCACTCCTCACTCACTCCTCACTCCTCACTCCTCACTCCTCACTCCTCTTTCTCCTCCTCCTCCTCCTCCTCCTCCTCCTCCTCCTCCCTCCTCCTCCTCCTCCTCCTCCTCCTCCTCCTCTCCTCCTCCTCCTCCTCCTCCTCCTCCTCCTCCTCCTCCTCCTCCTCCTCCTCCTCCTCCTCCTCCTCCTCCCTCCTCCCTCCTCCCTCCTCCTCCTCTTCCCTCCTCCCTCCTACCTCCCTCCCTACTCCCTCCTACTCCCTCCTAGTCCCCCTCCTAGTCCCTCATCCGCCTCCTCCTCCTCCTCCTCCTCCTCCTCCTCCTGTTCCTCCTCCTCCTCCTCCTCCTCCTCCTCCTCCTCCTCATCCATCTCTTACTCCCCTCCTCCTGTTCCACTGTTCCTCCTCCTTCTCCTTTTGCTGATCCTCCTCCACATTTCCTCCTCGGCACGTACCCTGCGACGCATCAGAGTCCTATCGTCCACCATGCCGACGACGCTTGAAGGCCGATCTGACCTGTGCCAGAACGGGCTGGATCTGAGAATTATTAATCGGCGGCCTGCGGACGCAATCTGACTCTACAAGCGGCGAGCGACAGCAGGGAAGTGGAGGAGTTCAGAGGACGAGGGGACAGGAGACAAGCCGAAACGGGCGGTGAGGCAATCAAGGAGAGGCCGACGAAAAATGCGGGAACTAAAGGAGACACAAGCACGGCAAGAAAGATAATGAGGAATCGAATCGGTTGCATGGGGACTGCATGCGGCTAGACAGGTGCATGCCGAGCTCTGAAACCGAGATTCAGTGGCCCACGCTCCTGCGAGGGTCTTGATGCATGCAGAGGCGGGCGCTGGCGGGAGCGTCTGATGAGCTGCGCGCACTGCCGACCAATCTATACTTTCAATCAGCTCTCCGTGGCCAGGGTACCATTTCTTCGAGCGGTCAGAGAAGGTCGCGGCCAGAGTTTCTGGGAACAGGGAGGCAAACAATGACCTCGTGCGCAGCCGCTGGAATCTTGGATGTCTGGGGAGGGGAGCAGCAGCGGGAGGACCAGCAAGAAGAGGAGAGATGACGTCGAGGGCGCGTCTTCCAGCAGGGGCGAAACGAGGGCAGCTGGGACAGCGTGGGGCAGCATGCGAGGACTGCTCGACAAAACTTCTGCGGAGCAAGAAGGACCAGAGGCAACACCTACTTCTCTCCTCCTTCTCCTCCTCCTCCGCCTGCTATTGTTATCTTCCTTCTCCTTTTCCTCCTCGACGAGGAGGGGCCCAGACCAATTTCGATGACGCGACGGCGCGGGCGCACCTCGAGAGCATTTTCCACGAGCGGGTCGTGCCCAGCCCCTGAAAATGACTGGCGCTGCTCGCGCGAGGGCGGCGCGGGCGACGGCCTCGGCGCCGGGGGAGCGAGGGCCGCCCCGCCTCGCGGGGTCTCGGAGAAGTCGGCTGTCGACAGGGCACGGTGCGGTGTCTTGTGCACAGACTCGCGGGCATGGCGTGCTGATTTTTGACGGGCCGACGGCGACAGGGGGAGGAGCTGACCAACGTGCGCGTGGACAGGGAGCGCTCGCCTTGAGCACTGGGCAGCGCTGACTGCCGTGGGAGCCGACGCCGCGGCTGTCGCCACCGTCCTGGAAGCACGCTTAGCAGAAGGAGCGACCCACGAGTCAAGAACGACTGCGGGGCCCGTCGTCGTGCCTAGATAGAGCAGCGATGGAGCAATCACAGAATCACTTCATCCTGGGATGTGCAGCCTGATCCATTCTCTGCATTCCTCGGCCAGGGCTTCCGAAAACAAGGGCCAGCGAGTGGGACCGCGAAACATTCTTTGTGCTTGAGGACATGAGCTGCGAGGCGCCCAGCGGCTTTGAACATGCGATGGGGTGCCTCGAGGGCTGGGGGTCGGAACGCAATGCTGCCGAAATCGTCCGCGCACGTTCGAGCGACGCGTCTGCCGTGCCCTTCGAGGGTGGAGGAGAGGTGAGCGAGGAAGAGGTGGGAGGCGAAGGGCGAAGGCGTAGAGAGTGCCCGACGCTGGACAACGTTGGACGATGTCAGGCATGCTATAGAACAGATGGAGCACGAGGGGGCCAGCTGCGCCTACGCACGCGACATTAGAATGCACAAGACGAAGGAAGACGAGCAAGGGAGGGGGAAGGTCGAGGCGAGAAAGAACAAGGGCGACCCACAAGTGGGCGAACGAGGGGTTTCCGAAAGACAAGCTAACGAGCGCAGGGGGGGAGAGTGCGACCGCTCAGTCATCGATGCGATCCTCGAATGTACATCTAACTCCTACTCTTCGGATGGTGGGCTCCCGCCAAATATAGGATGCCGTCGGGCCCCGGCTCGCGCAACTTCGCATGCCGGAGGACGCGGTCGAACGTCGCCTTCGAAGGCGGGCGGAGGTCACGTGGAGCAGCCAGTGGAGCGTAGTGGTTGAGATAAACACGAGCGGCATCTTCGTCGATCTGCTTCGAGGCGCAAACCTGTCCCCGAGCATGTCCGAGAGCCAGGGGATGTTGTTCGGGGTCCGCGATCTTGAGGCTGTTTTGTCTGACCCCTTGGAGCGCGAGCTCGCTGTCGGGCCCCATAACTTGGCGCGGCGAGCGGCCCCGCGAAGACGGCGACGATGTTTGGCGAAGACCTTATATGGTGTGCCAGGCTGCGTCTGTCGACGGACGTCGGCAGCGGCTCGATCCGCGGTAGCCCGCCAGGCAGCGCGGGCGGCCTCGCACAAACTCGTCGGGGGAAAGAGGCGAGACGCAGGGCAGTTGCGAGTCGATTTGCAGAAATTCGCGGCCAAGCCAGCGCGCGCGCTGCAGCCGAGAAGCGAGCTCGATGCCAGAGAGCGCGGGAGATGGTCTTGAGGATCATGAGTTAGGAGACGAGGGCAGCGCGCAACAGCGCAGTCTCTTGCATGCCAGGCGGCCTGACGCACGAGCTCTTGTGGTGCTCAATCAGCAGCGGCGGGGACAGAGACGAGACGTCAGCGATCTCCATCGCTCGAGCGATGTGGTCCTGGTACTCGGGTATCTTGAAGAGGCCCCCAAAGATCGGCCCATTGTCGGGGCCGTTTACACCGGGGCCGGCGAAACCGAAACCGCCGCGCGGTCAGAAACTCTCTTTCCGTTCAAAATCTCGGGCACGCCGCGGAGCTAAGCTGACGCGGGCATCTGCGAGAGAGACCCGCCAGGGAACGAGATAAAGATGAAGCCGATGCTGCTCAACGAGGTCATCGCGTCGTTGCAGTGCGTTTCCCCCTCCACCTCCACCGCCGCGCGCCGAAAGAAAACTCGCCGCCGCGTCTGGTCGCGCGGAATTTGCCTGTCCTCCGCGACCGGACCGTGCGCGCCAGGGGAAGCGCTGAGAGATCGAAAGGGGCGAGCAGTAATATTGAAGTCCCCCGCCAGAAGCACCGGCGACGTGCGCGGGCTCTGCTTCGCTCTCAGGAGGTCTGCCTTGATCTGGTCTTCTAACTGTCGGCGATATATCGGCGGTAGATCGCGGTCATGTATGCGGCGGTGAGCAATCGAACCCCCGCTGGAGAGCTCGATAGCGAGGCGGAGGGTCCTGCCTGGCGCAATCTCGAGTGAAGAGATGGACGGAGGATCTCGAGGGCGAGTCTTCGCGAAGTCGGGGGCGAACCGCGCCCCTTGCGCGAGCGTTCGGGTCGCCGACGAAGAAGGGCGTCAAGGATAGGGCAGGGCGGTGAAGATGGCAGAAAAAATCTGAACGACCACCTCTGATCCGTGACTATCTTGCACCGCGCCCCACGCCCCCCGCGCAAGAAGCTGATTCAGGCACGCGAGCTTTCTGGATCTGACCCCCGGCGGTGGTAGAACAGCGCCCGTGCATTCCAGGGCGCGAGCCGCAGCGGTGAGACAGTCGCAGCACCCCTCCCCCCCCCGCCGCGACGCATAAAAAGCGCCAACCCCCACCATGTGCTCACGAATCTGGGTCTCGGAAGAGGTTGAAGGCCACGCGGCTCGCGGCGCAAAGCTCTATGCAAATTGCGGGGGGGGGGGGGGGGGCTCGGGGATGGGCGCGCGGGCGAGCTGCTTCCGTTGCGAGAACATGGAGCCGAGGGCCTTATCCGCGATGGGGCGGGCGCTCGGGGATGGGGCAGGGGGGCGAGCGCGAACCGGCCGGGGAGCGACCTCGACTCGGACAATGGCGGGGCTCTTGTCCGCGGGCACGAAAACCGTAGCGGCGGCGCCTTGCGCAGCGGGCGCCGCGAACTTCTGCGGGCCGCCATCGCGAAGGCGAAGCCCGCCCATGGCCTGACCCGCGCGACGGGTGCCCAGAGCACCCTGGCCCTTGATGCGGAAGACGAAACGCTTGTCGACGGGGTCGCCCGCGACCCGGCAGAGAGACGGGTCGAGCTGCGAGCGCTTGAGCCACCGGGGGGGGGGGGGGGCGCGGCAACCAGGGCCTGCTGGGCGACGGGCCCCATCGCGCGCGCAATGGCGATGGGCGCGTCAGCCTTGCGGTGGAACGATGAGTCTGGGACAGTCACGCAAGGCTCTTCGGCGCGAAGGACCCCGAGATGTCGGCGAAGCTCCGCAATGGCCGTCTCCAGCTGTGAGATGCGAGCTCCCGACCGAGATCGACGATGTTAAAGGGGGCCCAGAACACACAAATAAATGCACACAAATAAAAATACTCCCCATATTTTCCCATAGTTTCTGGGTTGTCTCCCCCGCACTTCCCATGCGTTCGCATATTTTCCTGGGGATCGACGATTAATTGTGTCTGTGTGTTTTTCGCCTCCTGAGATGTTCCGATCCAGCCAGCCTCTGCTCAACCTGCTTGCGCCAAGAATCACGGCCGCCGGAGACCGATGTCGCCGTGCCAGGGATGCC